TGATGTGTACTGTCGTTGCTGCCCTGCTTCTCCACACCCACCATCACCTAAGTATCTTCCCCACCCCTTTCTTTTTGGATCCTACGAATACGCATTCCTTATGGATATCAACCTTGTGCTGGGTTCTCTCCATAGATTCAGACTTTCTAGGAAACAGAGATTTATTCTTTTACCTTTCCCCCATCTTCTCTTCTGCTTTATGTTGTGAGTGTTTGAGTCCACATGCAGATAAATTGGAGCTGTAAAACAAGAACTAAGGAACTGAAACTTAACCCTGATGGTGTAGACCAACGAAGCGTCATGATCTGAAATCAGGTCCTTAAGCTTGCCCGGCGGGCATTTTATCAACTGAGCTATCCCCTGCCCCTCACATTTAAAATCCAGTTCCTCTGATGCCAGGTATTATTATTCACTCAAGATGACAGCAAGCAACCACCAAGCCCTGGGAAGTAGGTCATGAGACTGATGCTGAGCTACAGTGTGAATGTTGTCAAATAGATACATTGCTCACTTGCCTTAGAGAAAGATAAGCATTTAATTTTTCTGTTCTTTTTAAAAATTATTTATTATTTTTATTTTATGTGTATAAGTGTATTTCCCGCATGTATGTAAGTACACCCATGCCGTGCAATCCCCTCGGAGGTCAGAAGAGGGTGTCAGATTCCCCTGGAACTGGAGTTACACACAGTTGTTAACTGAGATGTGGGCATTGGGAATCAAACCCACAAGTCCCCTGCAAGAGCAGCCAGTGCTCTTAACTTCTGAGCCATCTCTCCAGCACCACCCCCTTGCCAGTTTTGTTTCTATTCTTAACTGTAGAAAAGGTATACCAAATACTCCAAGAACCATTGGAATTAGAGAAAACGAACAAGCAAATACCCTACATTCCCAATATCATAAAGTCTCTGATACGTATTTCCTTTGATCAAGTGGAGTCATCTTAGAGCTTCCAGCATATTCACTGTAACACACATAAGTGAGACATAACAGATCTTCTTTCCACTGTCTACCTCCTATTCTGGGTCAGGAAGTCTGTCTGCACAGTCCTATCCCATCCCTCAGTGGATGTAGAACTTTGGAGAGTGGATGACAATTGCATGTTTTTCCCACCCCTCCCTTCGGCTTATTTCATCTTCTCTGTGTTTCTTTGTCCTCACAGAACTTATATCAGAACCGTACAATGGAGAAAGTAGAGAGACAGCATCCCTGTGTTATCACAGCCTGTGCTGGATAGCTTTAATGTCAACTTGACACACCTGGGTTGAGGGAGCCTCAACTGGGGAATTTCCTCCATTGGACTGAACTGTGGCCATGTCTGTGGGGCATCTTCTTGATTGTTGAGTAATGTGGGAGGGCCCAGCCCACTGTGGGTGGTGTCAACCCTGGCAGGTTGTTCTGTATTGTATAAGAAAGCAGGCTGAGCAGGAGCCAGGGAACAAGCCAGTAAGCAGCATTCCTCCATGGCCCGTGATCCAGCTCCTGCCTCCAGGTTCCTGCCCTGAGTTTCTGCCTTGGGCTCCCTGATGAACTATGACCCAGGAGATGTAAGCTGAATAAACCTTCCCTCCCCAAGTTGGTATTTGTCAGAGTGTTTTGTCACAGCAATAGAGAAACAAACTAGGACACAGCCAACTGCTAAGCAGGTTTGTAAACACGGATCAGTCGTTAACACTTGTCTGGCCTCTGGTTTCCTCATGTGATGGGAAAGAACCAAACTAGATCATCACATGTTCTTCTCTGCTTTTCAAACGCTGTGCTTCCAGTTCCATGTCTGAAGTCTTTAGCCCCTCTTCTCTTGCCCCATTTCAATGATCTTTCCTACCACCTTTGGAAAATTCTCCCCAATAAGCCATGGTTGGTAATTTGGGAAATATGTGGGATTTACATGTATCAGAACTGTGATTTCTAAAGAAAATTGACACTAAAAGACAAGAACAATCATCCCTCCCTCACACCCAGAATGCCTTTCATGACTGTCCTGAGAAGTCTGTGCCTCTCTCATCATCATTAAATTAAATACAGGTGTCATCATTTATTCCACAAATATTTATTGAATGTATTCAAGGCAGCAGGCGCTTTCCCGAGCTTCAGATAGGTCAAAGTTCCTGCCCATATGGTGAGGCCATTTATTCCAGCACATGCAGTTTCGTTACATACTCAATTAAGGGAGCAGTGCCCTCCTTTATTATCCTTTAAACTGGAAGCTTAACTTGAAGCTCCCTTTCCCCAAGGCTGGAAAAATTAAACCTCAAGCTTTAAGAAGCTCTCCTCAAATACTCTCTTGGTTCATTCAAAATCTAAAGTTCTGTGACTCATGAGCATGTCAGGCAGTGTTCTTCCACTGTGACAAATACCTGCCCCAAGACAGGGCAGAACATTATGGTGGGAAGCATGTGCCGGAGCAAAGCTGCTCACCTCATGGAAGTCAGGAAGCAGGGGGTTGAGGGCTGAGATAAGATACAGATCCCCAGGACATGTCCTCTGTGACCTAGTTTTTGCAACTATACCCTCCGTCCAAACATGTCCACCTCCTTCTAGTTATGCCATCACATTACATTTCTGTCAGTGGTTTAGTGCACTGATTAACTCAGAACCTATATAATCCCATCATTTCCCAAAAGCTCATCAACTGGTAAGCAAACTTTCAACACTAGGCTTTAAAGGGAACAATTCATATCTAAACCATAACAGTGGGACATTGAGGAAGTGTCTTATTAATGTTCAGTCTGTGCTAGTCATCTCTGATGTGATTCTTCCCAAACCCTCACATTGCTTTGAAGGCAGGTGACACCCCACATTCTGTGTCAGGTGGGCTTAGAGCTCTTTGCTCAGGATAGGAACCCTTGAATCTAAGGTCTTCCCTATGTGAAGTTTCCAAACATGTATTTCCTCCCCTTCAGCTTACATAATCACTACTAAAGGTCCCATGCCTGATACAGTCAGAGCAAGAAACAAGTTTGACTCCTTAATACAGAAACACTTCAAAAAAAGTTATTAAGTGTATGCATGGCGTGTCTTTAACATTAAACAGGCAGGTGTACATTTATTTTCCAATCACTTAGTTTTGGTTCAAGACTTTCCTTTGACTATTAGCCTACTGCTTAGCATTGCAACTCTTTTTCTTCAAAAGATTCCTACCCATAATCCATCCTCTATAATGACCATTTTTTATTCCTATTTAGTTTGTACAGTGGGAACTTAAAGACAATTGTGAAGCAATCTGAAGAATTCTTTTGTACCTCTTTGATTTCTTACTAATGTTTTACAGAATCTCAGCCATATCTAACTTAATAGATAAGCAACTCATAAATTCCTATTTTTTATAAAATATTCCAATTAATTTTTTCTGAAAAACCCTCTGTATTTACCCTCACATTTCATTGGTTATTGGGGTTACACCTTTGAAAGCATTTCAGATTAATTATTTTAATGAAATTATATTATTCATTATTGAGTCTGTGCAATTTAATTACATGAAATAGCCAAAAATGTATTAAATTACTAGACTTGCTTCCAGATCACTATTTACAAAGCACAGCTCTGATAGTGTTACCTTTCAGCACTGGCAACTATAGCATCTCCTTTTGCCTAAAGATTTACATTCTTGGGGATGGAGAGATGTAAGAGCACCAGCTGCTCTTTCAGAGACCCAGGTTTGGTTCCTAGCACCACCCAATGGCAGCTAACAACCATCAGTAACTCCGGTTCCAGGGAGCTAATGCCCACAAGCATTGCTCACATGTGATGCACTTACTCGCAGGCAAAATACTCATATACATACAATAAATATAAATAAATAAATGGAATCACATCGTTACGCCTCACCCTAGCTCTTAGGTCTCTCCATACCAGGCTAGCTCTCATATCTTTCAGGATTCTTCTCTGTACTCATGACACACCAGACTGCTTGTGCTATCTGTGCCCTATGCTGTGTTCTTGCTCTCTAATGCAATATTTGAATACCCTTCATGCTTGTGTTCACTAGGTTGCAAAAAGAAACAGGACTCCCCCTCTCCCAGCATAGGCTTTATTTTCTGCAATTACGGAATCTTTGTTCTCTTGCTTCAGTATTGCCCAAGACTTTTATACTGTATCTTTGTATTAGCGTTTGTCTTTAAACAGATTCACTTTATTGCCACTTGTCTATTTATATTGTAAGTTTACATCAGCACCCTGCATGGAAAAATAATACTGCTTGTTAAATATGAGTGCAACAGAAAAATGAATTTCATAAAAATAAACATAAGAATGTTTTCTACTGAGGTAATTCCTACCTGAGGTACAGGTTGTCTCAGTTAAGGCACTGAATGTCAGCAGTAAAAGAGTTTCTCTTGGTAAAAACAGCAGGATTGAAAAGTAGCAAATCAGCTTCCTTGCTGTTTCATAAGTGATGTTTGACATGTGCATCATCTGAAATCATCACCAGTGGCATGTGCTCCACTCCAGAAACAATGTTTCATTGCTGTGACTGGGTAAGCAGCTAAAGGGCAAGAAATGATTCTTAGTCCTTTGCTGAACTCTGTTCCTGAGCCCTCTAAGCCATTCCCAGCTTCCCAGGACTACTGAGGTACCAGCTACTTCTATAGCATTAGATTTGGGGAGTTTTCTCTAAAACACCAGCATGGCGGGTTCTTTAGACCTGTGATCCAGGATGAAGAATGAGCTTTAGCCTCAAGATGAATTAGAGAAGTGTCTGATGGAGATATATCTGGTAGTGTAGAAGAACAAAGTTTCCAGATGCCTGCATTCTGGGCACTTCTCTATTGTGGGTAAGTTTCTTCTGAAGCTGGGTGAGACCTTACAGAGCATGTTCTTCCGCCATACTTCTGTGCCTGGCCCACTCCAGTCTCCTTCATAGAAGGACAGCTGTCCTACTCTCCATGTCTACCTATAAGCTGCAAACTGGACTCGGGGTCTACATGCTCACCACAGAAATCCATCCCAAGGGCCAGTCCGAAGCTGATTCAACTTGGTCACCATCCTTCTTCTTTCTCTTTCAGGCAGTGCTGAGTCCTCTCATAGCCATCGCGCTGAAAATATCCCAGATTCATGAGAGGACTGGCCGGAGGGGACCCACTGTCATCACCTGAGCAGAGGAATGGCCTCTCACTAGGGCAGAAGAGTGCTCAGGAAGAGTCGCTTCACCACGTCTTCTTGCTTCCTGTTTGTGCCTCTTACGACTTTGGAAAAACAAAAGCTGTTTTACTGTTGGGGTGGGGGGAAAGGAAGGGTGGGAAAAGGGAAAAGGCCCTTTTTGCTTTGGTTTGTCCATTTCCTCCAAATGCAACAGGGTCTTTAGTTGTCTCTGGAAACCTCACTCTCATTTGATGTCTGTATTTCATCATACAAAGGGGCTTCTCCATTTCAGAAAAATAGGTGGCTAGGAAGCTATTAATCATAGCCCCTGCGTGTTGTTAGTACCTCATGAGAAAATGTTCCAAAATGACAAAAGAAAGAGACAATAGTGCCTTTGACTGACCCTAAGTCCTGGGGGCTCTGGGCAGGCAGAAGATCCCCTACATGAAGGAGGGCTCCACTTTGCATCCCTGTGCAGATCTACCATGGGGCAAGGTTCTAGAACTCCTAGGACACACCCCTCTTTCACCAACAGCCCATGCTCCCCAGCCTCCCAACATCCTTGCACCACCTTCTCTCACATCTTCTAGAGCTGTCTACAAATCACAGTGGCACACTTCCAACAAGACATATATAAAAGGGTGTTTTCTCTCATTTTACTAATAATAGTTTAGCTATCAATCTGGCCACACTTCTTTGAATGTAGCCATTTCCTGTGCTGGTGGGGAAGGAGTTTCTGGAAAAGACTCTACAAATGGATGCTTAAACTGAGAGAGAGGCCTCCTTGATTATGTCACAGAGGTCCATACATGAGTTTGTGTAAATTCCTCCTGAGGAAAACACCACAGTGTGCACCATCCCTGACTGTCCCACTGGGCCTGAGCTGATACACTTCTTTGGAAACAGTTTCTGCTTGCAATGGCTGGATAAAAGAGAGGGTAACATGCTGAACGAACAGGAAATGAAGTGGCAGGAAGGAAGCCTCAGTGGGACAGTTACAGGGTGAATGAGCTGAAGAGACACAGGGTCACCAATGGCTCTCTTTCCCTGGGAGGGAAAGGTCTTGCAGCTCCAGCAGGCACATGGATGGGGCAAAGTGCTGGCTCAGGCATGGGATGTGTTTGCTTATGTTTTGCTTCCTTGGGAACAGCAGGTTCACTTATCACGTCATCCTCAGAGATGACCTAGTGCACTTTGACTTGATTCAGCAAGGCATTGTTGCTGCAGTCAAGGTCAGTGCAAGCAAGGAAATAGTTACAGCAAGGTATTTGTTTCCATTTTCTATCTTTGCTTCTGTCAGAAACTTGCTAGGATATTTAGTAGTCAATAAAACAGATCTTCCTTATTTTAACCTCATTAAAAGATTGTGGGCTTCCCCTTATTCATACATTGTGCGCTTGAGCAGCACCAGTAATGGTTGTCTAGACTGATATATCTGCCTTTCAGAACACTGGCAAGGACTGTTTTTCATTGTGATGACTTGGGAGATGGACGGTCGTAGTGGTACACGCCTTTAATCCCAGCACTCGGGAGGCAGAGGCAGGTGGATCTCTGTGAGTTCAAGGCCAGCCTGGTCTACATAGTGAGTTCTAGGACAGCTGGGGCTACAGGGAGACCTTGTCTCA